CAAGATTGCTAAAATAGCAAGTGAGTGCAAATATACAAAGGTTGTTGGAGATGCTCTAACTACTCTCATATGGCAAGAAACCCCATAACTGCACATGCGACCCTATCTGACTCTCCGAATGCACAACATCCTCACAAACCCCAGCATTGCTATTACGTAAGAGATACCTGACAAAAACACCTCGACACAAGACATCAGGCACCTCCCAACCCACAACGACAACCCAATCCAAAATGACGGGTCAAGAGATCGAAGGCCATCCATCAAGCAGCCAGAGACGCCTTGCTTATGGCTCCTAGTAGCATGGTAAACTCAGAAATTTTAGTCTCCAAACATCCAATTACACTGTTCAGCATGGTTATGCTATCAGTACCAAATACTAATAACGATGCATTCTTTCATTGCTTGCACTGGAACGAAGCTGAAGTCACTTGTGGATCACCTGATGATCGTCAGGAGCACCCTCATCTTCAATGAACTGGAAATTTGAAGGTGTCAAGCACATAGTACCCAAGATACTTAGGTAGTAGGTACATGCCCTCCACGAGCCCCTTGAGCTGGAGGATCATTCCACGGTTTATGAACTGCCTTCCTCCGCCTTCTCGATGATGTTGTGGATTCTTAGCAAGATACTTTTCGGCCGCTAGATGTCATCTGTTTCCGTCGTCGCACTCGCACGTTGTTCCCCATATTTCTGGCTCAAGGAGATGAAACGGCTGACAAGATCATCTCCACTGTGAGCCTTCAGCGGGAAGCATGAAAATCCACTCAAACAGTTTGGAAAGTGATATAGGAGTAGGTGGCTGAAAGTTAAGTAAACAAAGGATGAAAGGAAGCAACTAGCGATGATGGAAGTTGTGAAACTGATTGGAACCAACTAGCGGCGACTACACACTTTGGGCACATCGAAACGGTCATAGTCAGAAGCGTGAAGTAGTTCCCTTTCACTAGTTTCCCACAAGCTCGTTTCAGAGAAGACTAGTAAACAAGTTTTTAATTAAAAAGGTTTAGGTGAAATTTTTTAGGACATAAATATATAGAAAAAAGGAAAACATTTAATCTGATTCTGCAGCAGAACAGGAACCATAAACATCCATAACACAGTTAATGCTACCTAAAACTAAAATCCGGTCTCTCAAGGTGTAAAACAACATTTTAGGCCACTCAGCTACTACCTCCGTCCCAAAATATAGACGTTTTTGTAGGCTAGTTTAGCCTACAAAAATGTCTTATATTTTTTTATGGAGGTAGTACATAAGTAAAAGTCATCTGACAGAGAACATACTTAGCAGTCGTCCAGCTCAATTAGGCCTGAATTACGCCTGCAGAGCAAACAAAAAAAATCAAATCATTATGAGCCTCAGGCACAAGAAACACATAACTCAATCTGCACAATCCAGATAATCATGTGCTTCCTCCTGGGACGATTAAGCTCAAAACAACCCAAGACATGAGGTTTTGTAAAGATGCTTTTCTAATAAATTATACTCCTACCTATGATAAAGAAAAGGTGATGAAATTGACAGTACACCATCTGTTCACTAATGTAGGACGTTTTGTCAGTTTTAAATTGAACTGCCAAAACGTCCTACATTAGTGAACAGAGGTAGTACTTCTGTGTGGCACATGAGCACATCTACACTCAGCAAGCCCAGCTTGGACCATTTGGTGTTCTATCTCTTGGAGGATAATAGGATGGCGACAATCAAACTCACCAAAAACAATATAAATTAATCAAGTCAATGGAGTTGTTGCCAAAAATATTGGTAAAAATCAAACCTTTATACTATCTCAACTTGGTCTTCAGTAACACTAACACTTCGAATGTTGAATTGTGAAAATAAATCACTTTGACCACTGCCATCTTCTTGATTTATATAAAGAGCACTAGATCTAATAAATCAGCATAAAAGCCTGCATAGAATAAGATAGCAACTGAAATGGCTTAATCTGTGAAATTAATTCAAAATAATTTTCTCAACAGAAGGGAACACTTTGAACTGTTCTATCATCGTGTATCCATAACAGTAACCTGATTCCGAGGACATTCAAGCAAGACATCCCACAGTTCAAATTGAGTACCTAAATAAGCTTTAGCAAAATGATGCATGACTTCCAAAAGTATTTCAACATCAAAGGATAAGCCAAATAATCGAATATATGCCAGATGTGTACGTAAATAACTGAACTCAACATTGACCTCTGTAGCTAGAGAACATGCTATCAATAACACAGCAGTGAGATTGCAGTTTAGTTCAATTAGTTGTAAGTCTGTAACCATTTCATCCCATTAATGCAGAAGGCCAATGTAAAGCTAGCTGAGCATTGCTGAACTGATGCTTCTTGGGTGGTTCTTTTACCGAGGAGGTTATATCATGTACTCCCTCCGTTCCAAAATATAAGTCTTTGTAGGGATTCCACTACTTGGACTACATAAGGAGCAAAATGAATGAATCTACACTTAAAATGCATCTATATACATCCGTATATGGTTCATAGTGGAATCTCTACAAAGACTTATATTTAGGAACGGAGGGAGTAGAATAGAAGAGGTTAAGACCACAGCAAGAAATCTGACTTGCCTCATTTAGCTGAGACATGCTGATCTCACGATGAGTGAAACATACTATGATTATAAAACAAAACAAAATGCAGAACTACCGACTTCAATGAATCTACATCCGATGTTCTTCCCATCCATACCTGAACTTATGCTTATCCTGAGTACATCTTTGAATCAATATTCTGAAGCTATATGAGTACGAAGTAGTTTGAGAACATCAATATCTGAAACAATGTATGAATGTACTCCCTCCGTAAAGAAATATAAGAGCATCTAGATCACTAAAGAGTGATGTAAACGCTCTTATATTTCTTTACGGAGGGAGTAGTTTGAAAACATGTTCAGCATCTGATCTGTTTTTACGACTCCACCAAACTCACAAACCGGAATTATAACCCTAAAAAGTACTTGCAGAACAGGAGTGGCATCAAATTATTTGGTTGTAGCTTTATCTAAATAAATCATACAGCTCTTGCATAATTATACATTACTCACTAAAAATAAAGGGAAACTCATGTAATAATTCCAATTTTATTTCTTTGATTGACACATGTACAATAGCACAATTCTTGCTGCTCAATTTACATGCCAGGCAGCAAGAGGAGCTTTTTCATGACAAGTTCACAGTTAAGAAGATTTACACACATTCCCACCAGGGTATTATACAGAAGGAAAGCATTTTCCTTATTGAACATGCAGTATAAGATTCTTAAATCCCAGCTTCGATGAGTTTCATCTGAAGAAGATTTACCATACGTCAGAATGATCCTTCACAAGGCAATGGGCCAACCTTCATGCGTTTCGTCCGTGCAATCGCCTTCAGTTCCTCCGACACCAAGCTCTCCTCGATGACCAAATGGTTCAAACGGGCGGCTCGCTGTGCAAAGAGTTCGACACTGGCCCCTTTAATGGCAGGGCAGCGGGAGATGTCCACAACCTCCACTGTCTGCCCACAGTGCCTAAGCAATGAGAGTAGCGATTCACCGGTAATGCCGCGGCAACCCCTAAACCGGATGTCAATTAGATTCCGGCAAGATGATAGCATGGCTCCAATCTCCTTGTCCTTCAGGGTCTCGTTGTAAGACAGATCAAGCCGGCGGAGGTGGCGCATGCTCTGGCTGAGGAACGTGAGCAGCCCAGGCTCCCGTTCAACTACGTCGCAGCTCACCAGGGCGACTTCTTTGATGCCCGCCCCAATGGCCGTGCGCGCGAGAGAACGGAGCCCGTCCCCCGTGACGAGGACACAGCTTTGAAGGCGAAGCACGGCAAGACTGCCCCGGGTGTCGTGGCCTTGCTCTGCGCCAATTGCAAGGAGGTGGTCATTGTGCAGGTCGAGAGGCAGGCGGAGGTCCAAGGTGTGCAGTGCCGCGCCGCGCCGACGGATGAACTGGAGAAGGGCCTCCCTGCTGCCGCCGTCATACACCAGGAGAGACTTGAGAGCACAGCACCGGTCAGCGGCGATGAGGAGGACGCGGTCGGCGACGGTTCGGCAAGCGCGGAGCTCAAGCTCGAGCAGGCCGGCGAGGCATCCTGAGAAGGCATTCGACGCGGGGCCATCTCCGATGCCGTCGCAAGCGCGCAGCTGCAGCCACCGTAGGCTCCCACAGCGCTGCCATAGCCACCCGAGTCCGTGGTCGCCGGAGCGGATGCCGCACAGCGACAGCCTCTCCAGAGGCAACGCCCCTACGGCGTCGCCCTCGCAGCTGGAGTCTTCATCGGAGCTGGAACCGGCCGAGTCAACGGCAGCAACGGCGGAGTTGACAAAGGCGAAGGATTTGAGGCAGGGCAAGCAGGCGAGCCAACGGAACGACAGGGGGCTGACGGCGGCGAGGTGGAGCGAGGTGAGGCCGGAGAGGGTGACGGAGACGTCGCGCAGCGCAGCGGGCGAGACGGGCGAACCGACCGAGAACCGCAGCGCCGTGAGCCTGGTGGCCGACGGCGAGGCGGACACCGCGAGCAGGAGCGCGTCGGCGTCGTGAGCGGCGGCCGAGGACGCGGAGACGACGGCCAGCGCGGATAGATACGGGTAGCGCGAGAGCAGGTCAGCCAGAGGACCCGCAGCCGCGGAGGCCGATGCTCCGGTGAAGGCCGGCGGCAGGCGGAGGGTGAGGCGGGACGTGGAGGCTCGGAGGAGCGCGACCCAGCGGCGGGAGACGAGGGAGACGGCCGGCCCTGCGGCGGGCGGGAGCAGGCGGAACACCTCCTGCAGCAGGTCGTCGCAGAGCGCGGCGTCCACGTCGCCGCATGCCCCGCCACCGCAGCCGGCGCGGCGGCCTCCGCCGCCGCGTCGGGGGCTTATTGGCGCCGTAGCCAGGGGGAGAACGCGGCCACGCCTCAGCTCATCGGCACGGCGTGCCCAGGTAAAATTTTCCCTCCAGGGGAATTGGGCTGCTCGGCGGCCTCAGGTGGGGATGGGGCTGGGGAAGGTGGGGAGGGGGGTCGCTCTTGTGTGGCCGCCCGCGAGATTAGGTGGGGAAGGAGGGAGATGCCGACAAGCGAGGTGGGGGTATCGTATCGTATCAACATCGGCGGCGTGAGCGTGCGTTGGCTATCCTTCCAAAATGGTTGTGGAGGCGGCTCCGATGGATAAATCACAGGATTCGAGGCTCCATGGAATGCTTTCGTCTCGGCGTTTTCTTTCTTTTTCATGAAACACTTTTTTAATTAGTGTTGCGTAAAGTAAGATTTTTGGGATGGCTTACAGTGATAATTTGTTTTGATCCTGCTGAAAAACAGAAACGTTTGCGCGTAGGAAAATAATTTTCATAATTTACAGAAGCGTGTTTTTGATCTGATTCTTTTTGCACAAGATTGGTACACAAATTACCCAGGCTATCCTAATTTTTAGAATATTTGGAGTTACAGAAGTATTCGAAGTTTTCAGATTGCTACAGACTGTTCTGTTTTTGACAGATTCTGTTTTCTATGTGTTGTTTGCTTATTTTGATGAATTTATGAGTAGTATCGGGGGTATGAACCATAGAAAAGTTGGAATGAGTAGATATTATATCAATATAAATAAAGAATGAGTTCACAACAGTATCAAAAGTGGTGATTATTTTCTTATACTAACGGAGCTTATGCGATTTTCTGTTGAGTTTTGTATTGTGAAGTTTTCAAGTTTTAGGTAAGGATTTGATGGACAATTGAATAAGAAAATGGCAAGAGCCTAAGCTTGGGGATGCTCAAGGCATCCCAAGGTAATATTCAAGGACAACCAAGAGCCTAAGCTTGGGGATGCCCCGGAAGGCAGTCCCTCTTTCGTCTTCGTCTATCGGTAACTCTACTTGAAGTTATATTTTTATTCATCACATGATATGTGTTTTGCTTGGAGCGTCTTGTATGATTTGAGTTTTTGCTTTTTAGTTTGTCACAATCATCCTTGTTGTACACATCTTTTGAGAGGGACATGCATGAATCATGATTTATTAGAATATTCTATGTGCTTTACTTATATCTTTTGAGCTAGACAATTTTGCTCTAGTGCTTCACTTATATCTTTTTAGAGCACGACGGTGGTTTTATTTTATATAAATTGTTGAACTCTTATGCTTCACATATATTATTTTGAAAGTCTTTTTAAATAGCGTGGTAATTTGCTCTGGTTATAAATTTAGTCCTAATATGATAGTCATCCAAGAGGGGTATATTAAAAACTTTCATATAGAGTGCATTGAATACTATGAGAAATTTGATTTCTTATGATTGTTTTGAGATATAAAGATCATGATATTAGATTCATGCTAGTGAGTAATTATGAATTAGAGAAATACTTGTGTTGAGGTTTGTGATTCCCGTAGCATGCACGTATGGTGAACCGCTATGTAACGAAGTTGGAGCATGAGATATTTATTGATTGTCTTTCTTATGAGTGGCGGTCGAGGACGAGCGATGGTCTTTTCCTACCAATCTATCCTCCTAGGAGCATGTGTGTAGTACTTTGTTTCGATAACTAATAGATTTTTGCAATAAATATGTGAGTTTTTTATGACTAATGTAGAGTCCATGGATTATACTGTTGGGTTTCGTAGTAATTTCAAAAAATTTCCTACGCACACACAGGATCATGTGATGCATAGCAACGAGGGGAGAGTATTGTCTACGTACCCAACGCAGACCGACTGCGGAAGCGATGACACGACATAGAGGAAGTAGTCGTACGTCTTCACGATCCAACCGATCAAGCACCGAAACTACGGCACCTCCGAGTTCGAGCACACGTTCAGCTCGATGACGATCCCCGGACTCCGATCCAGCAAAGTGTCGGGGAAGAGTTTCGTCAGCACGACGGCGTGGTGACGATCTTGATGAACTACAGCAGCAGGGCTTCGCCTAAACTCCGCTACAGTATTATCGAGGAATATGGTGGCAGGGGGCACCGCACACGGCTAAGGAATAGATCACGTGGATCAACTTGTGTCAACTTGTGTGTCTTTGGGGTGCCTTTACCTCAGTATATAAAGGAGCCAAGGGGGAAGGGGGCGCCGGCCAAGAGAGAGAGGCGCAGGAGGAGTCCTACTCCTACCGGGAGTAGGACTCCCCCCCCCCCAATCCTATTCCAACTAGGATTCCCAAGGGGGAAAGAGGGAGAGGGGTGGCCGGCCACCTCTCCTAGTCCTAATAGGACTAGGGGAAGGGGGGAGGCGCGCAGCCCCCTTGGGCTGCCCCTTTCTCCTTTCCACTAAGGCCCATGATGGCCCATATGGCTCCCGGGGGGTTCTGGTAACCTCCCGGTAACCCGGTAAAATCCCGATTTTACCCGGAACACTTCCGATGTCCAAACATAGGCTTCCAATATATCAATCTTTATGTCTCGACCATTTCGAGACTCCTCGTCATGTCCGTGATCACATCCGGGACTCCGAACAATCTTCGGTACATCAAAATGCATAAACTCATAATATAACTGTCATCATAACCTTAAGCATGCGGACCCTACGGGTTCGAGAACAATGTAGACATGACCGAGACATGTCTCTGGTCAATAACCAATAGCGGGACCTGGATGCCCATATTGGCTCCTACATATTCTACGAAGATCTTTATCGGTCAGACCGCATAACAACATACGTTGTTCCCTTTGTCATCGGTATGTTACTTGCCCGAGATTCGATCGTCGGTATCCAATACCTAGTTCAATCTTGTTACCGGCAAGTCTCTTTACTCGTTCCGTAATACATCATCTCACAACTAACATATTAGTTGTAATGCTTGCAAGGCTTATGTGATGTGTATTACCGAGAGGGCCCAGAGATACCTCTCCGACAATCGGAGTGACAAATCCTAATCTCGAAATACGCCAACCCAACATCGACCATTGGAGACACCTGTAGTACTCCTTTATAATCACCCAGTTACGTTGTGACGTTTGGTAGTACCCAAAGTGTTCCTCCGGTAAACGGGAGTTGCATAATCTCATAGTCATAGGAACATGTATAAGTCATGAAGAAAGCAATAGCAACATACTAAACGATCGGGTGCTAAGCTAATGGAATGGGTCATGTCAATCAGATCATTCCGCTAATGATGTGACCTCGTTAATCAAATAACAACTCATTGTTCATGGTTAGGAAACATAACCATCTTTGATTAACGAGCTAGTCAAGTAGAGGCATACTAGTGACACTTTGTTTGTCTATGTATTCACACATGTATTATGTTTCTGGTAAATACAATTCTAGCATGAATAATAAACATTTATCATGATTATAAGGAAATAAATAATAACTTTATTATTGCCTCTAGGGCATATTTCCTTCAGTCTCCCACTTGCACTAGAGTCAATAATCTAGTTCACATCGCCATGTGATTTAACACTAATAATCATATCTGTATATGATTAACACCCATAGTTCACATCGTCATGTGACCAACACCCAAAGGGTTTACTAGAGTCAATAATCTAGTTCACATCGCTATGTGATTAATGCCCAAAGAGTACTAAGGTGTGATCATGTTTTGCTCGTGAGAGAAGTTTAGTCAACGGGTCTGTCATATTCAGAGCCGTATGTATTTTGCAAATATTCTATGTTAACAATGCTCTGCACGGAGCTACTCTAGCTAATTGCTCCCACTTTCAATATGTATCCAGATTAAGACTTAGAGTCATCT